TGGTGGGGGAGTGAGTGAGTGGCTGTGAGGCTCTTGGCTGCTGTCTGGGGTTCAACCATGGCACTTTGTTAACAGCTTTGGGCATGTGAGGACCATACTTAGGGTTATTCCTCACTCCACCCCCCAAAAAAAATTTGTGTGAGGGCTGAATTGAGCCCAACAAAGTAGCAGGAAAATCCTGTGCACTTGAAAGACCAGGAGCAGAGAGAACAGCAGGGGTCAGAAAGTGGCAGGAACTCTTTTAACAGCACCACAGACAAGTCTATGGCAGCAAATTTTGTGATGGTCATGTTGCTTTTAAGGGAGGAAGGAGAGATGGGAGAGCATGGGTTTGGTGTGCTTTTTATGTTGACAAAAATGCAGATACTGCAGGTGTCCAGTGAAAAAGGTGTGTTGACTTCCAGTTATCCTACCCAAAATCCTTGTTTGCTGCACTGTAGTTACCATGATAGGATTTCCTCCTTCCACTCCACAAGAGCCCTATCGGCAGGGAAGCCCTGAGGCAATTTGCATTCAATCATTTATTGCAAAGAGACTGATTTTTCACCATTCTCAGGGCACAGTGATCCCAGAGGCCTGTTTGGTTCAGCCTGTCTCCCCCACCTGCCAGGAGGCAGAAGCCAGCAGAGCAGCACAGCCAGGCTCCCTCCCTGTGGGCAGCTGGTAAAAGAAAAGAGGGACAAACTGAATTTTCCCCGTGTTTCCACTGTATTGGTGCAGCCCTGGTGTCATCTGCTGTGTTTGTTTCGGGTATGGGCTCCTCCCCAGGGCTGTTCTGTCTCCTGTTAGGAGAGGGAATGGTGCATTCTTACACTGTTGATTTATGATCCCAATTCCCTCTCACTGTGCTCATTTTCTTTCTCAAAGTACGTTCTGCAAAGCTTGAAAAAAACCCACCCCACACATGACAATTGAAAGCAGTTTCTAGAGCACAGTTTCCTGCAGGAATCCTGCTGTGGCCTTCAGTTTACGTGCTAGGTAACGTCATGTGGAAAAGATGGCTTTACCCTGACAGTGTCCCTTAAATCACAACAGAAGCCAAGACATTTATAGCTCAGGCTGTGCATAGTATCTGGAGTCCCCTGCCCCCTTGTTGTCATGCAGAGGGCTGTATCCCTACAGAAGACCAACCTCTGTCCATTCCCACGCCTGCTGAAATACTTACCTTTTTAAAACCACATGAAATTGTACAATGAGCCACATGGAGAATGTCTGTTTTGACAGGCCATCTCAGAAATACAGCAAATGCCTCAATGGATCGTGCTTCCTGTTCTACTGTTCTGCTGCATCAAGTTTTCCATGTCTCTCCTATTACATTGGATCTTGTGATTCATGTTATCCCCACACACTTTCAACCAGGCTAAATTTGTCCAAGGTGGCCTGAGGCAACGGAGCCGATCCCTGCACAGCTTGTCCTCCCACACTCTGGAGAGTGTTTCGTTTCATACTTTTGCATTTGCCACCTTCCCTTTTACTGACTAGCTACACAGGCTGTGAGAATTGTCCCACATCCCCAGTCCCTGATGGGATCATCCTCACAGTCCTGACCAAAACCTATCACCCCTCTCTGATTCCTGCCAGAAGCTGCAGTACTTGCAGAGGCTGCCTGACCCCACCAGTCCCCTGGTGGCCCTGGTCCAGTGACCTGGAGACCAGCAGTAGTTTGGTGCAGCTCTCAGTTTCCTCTCTCCAGCTCTTATTTAAAGCTCAGTGGAATACAGGGGTATTTCCACTTTTTTCTTCTTTCTCTCTCCCCTCCCTGTCACTCCTCTCCCTGCACTCTGCCCCAGCCCAGTCCACAAAACAGAAACTTGATGCAAAATTTTTACAGGAATGCACTAATGAGCCTGAATTTTTGACCAGCTGCTGGTTCGTGTTTTGAAGGAGCAGTGCTATGGTTGGGATTAGCTGGACCACACCTGAACGTTTCAGACTCAGCAAGAGGAATGGGCAATTTATCAGGAGGAAATGATGGAAGTGGAGAGAGATCAGCTCATTGTCACATTAGCACTGAGGGAAGATATTGCTCTTTGTTGCCAAAGTTGTAGCCATCAAGGAGTAAAGCATTCTGGGTGTGATGTGCCTACTCCTCGGAAATGTGGTGTTTGATGCTGGCACTGGTGTAAATGTACCTCTCAGGTGCTAAAGTCACACACCTCGGGAACTCTGACAGGAGAGTGCTGGAGAGCTGAGCAAGGCCTGAGAGCTCTCTGAGCAGATGCACTGTGCCTGCCTGCAGCCTGCTGCTCTCTGGCATCCTGAGCTGGAGCACCCCCTGTGCTTGCAAACACAAGCCACATCCTTTCTGGGTAGCCCTCTGGAGCTGGAAAGCCAGAGTGACTAACACTCTTCTAAGAGAAATAAGATTCTTTCCAGGATTGTTCTCATTTGGGATGATAAAAAGCAAGAAGAGGTCAGTCCAAAGAGTAACATTTCTGGAAAAACACATCAGTCCCTCCATGCCCATGTCATTCTGCTATGACCTAGCCTTAGTTATTAGTGCCAGACACTGCCTGGTTGACAAGAACCACTCTGCTGAGGTCAAAGGCACTTTTTCTTTATGCAAGGACTAATTCTGTGAAAATCTGATGTAAAATCTGTTTTTATTCAACACCAATGACTTATTAATAGCAGTGCTAATGCAGGAAGCTGCTCAGCTGCACACCAGTAAGAAAATCTGTGGGACATGCTTGACTGTGTATGGCTGCAACTCAAAATTTCCCATTGCTGGAGTATTTTGTATTTTATGTTATTGATGCAAAGAAATACTATTGAAAGCCCAGGTGAAGATTTTTATTGGTCTGTGCCAGGAACACAAACAAGGAATGCTAGCACTGCTTTCTTACTCAAGCTTCTCTTAATAATCAGAAGAGGAAAATTAGCAATGAGGTCCAAGACAAGGTGGAGAGGGAGTGGGGCTGCCATACCAAAATGTATAGAGTGGTTCCAGGACAACATTGCTGTCAGGCAGCAGGAGGGACAGCCCAAGGGAGAGAGAGGATTTTCCATTCTGGGTGCCCTGAAAAAGTAAACATAAAGTAGTTTCCTCTCCTTCACCATACTCCGAGCTCAAATCACAGAGGGGAAGGGAAACTCACCTCATTCATCTCGTGTCTCTAGAAGGCTGTGGGATCCTTGTCTGATCTATCAGAAGGGTTCACTTCTGTCTCTCCTGGGCTTTCTTCAAACACAAGTTTATCTAGTTCGCATGCAATTGTGGTCAGGCAAGTGCTGTCAGCTGCACTTGGTCCAGCAGCTGTCCCAGCAGGAGGGACTCCCTCTGTCTCGCTGGCAGATGTCTCCTGATGTCGTGCCAGATCAGCCAAAACCCTCTCTGTGCCCCTGTGGATGATCTGATGAGCAGCACAGAGGTGTTTTCTTTGGGACTGCCTCACTGTGCATAAAAAGAGGAAAGGTTTTTTACTTAGAAATGTACAGCAAAGGGTTCTCCGTAGGGGAGAAGGGAGGGATTGCTTTTAGCCATCCTGCAGCTGTGGAAAAGCCTATCGCAGGGAAAAAAATCATGCCCTTCTAACTTTGGCTGAAAGTGTTCTACTGCCACCTAATAGCAGCAACCAACTTTGCATTTCACTTTGAAGTCTGGCCCCCATAGTGGGAAGCACAGCCAAAGTGTTCCTTTCCAGGTTTAGACACAACTGCCCAGGATATGTTATCAGGCTTTAAAATAACTTCTCCTTCAGTGTCTATTAGTTGCAGCAGGCCTCTGGAAGACTCCAGCTGAAATCTGCCTTCTCCTGTGCTATGATTTGGCCTGCACTGAGAAACTCTGAGTTCAAAGTAAGACTTGGGGACACTGTTGCCAAATTAAGTCACCTTCCTTATTGTCTCCCCTTGGCTACAGCAAGATTAGTCATTAACTCTGTCTTGTTCTTCTCATCCAAAGTAATGTTTATGTATTTCTAACCCACCTCTTGGGAAATAATTACTTACCGAAGCCTAAGCATTCACCCTACAGTTCTCTTCATTGCTCTTTACTATTGTTTGCTCCCTCTTTATTTCAATTGTGGGGATTGAAATACTGTGCACTTTTAGGGAGGGTGTGGAGAATGTTGCAGGCATAAGCTGTGGCTCTCACTGTGTCACTTCCATGCCAAAGTCCATGCTTTGGTCTGTTGTAAGGCTGAGCTGTACTTTAACTGTGGCTCTGAAGCACTGGTGTCCTGCAGACTATCCCTGTCTCAGTCACTCAATGTTACTAACCCACCCTGTTTATGTTTATCCATCTCCCAGGTCCATTTTGTCAACAATGAATGCAATTGGATCTCACTTGCATTTGAAAAGCTGACCTTCACCAGCTGGATCTCAATTCCCAGGAGACCTTTCTCTACCCAAGGCATTTTGGCTTCAATCATGTTTGCATGAACTGCATCAACTACACTGGGAATACTCTCCTGGTATTGCTGCAGTCCCTTCATCCATCCACAAGGAATTCCATCTAAAATAAAGTGAGCTCATATTGGCGAGCGATTGTCCTTTTCCAAGCAAGTTTTTTCATATCACCACATTGACTTCTATTTCCAGTGAGGTAGGGTTCAAAAGTGAGGTGCAGAGGGATTCAGGATGAGCCAGTATTGAATAATTACTGCTTTTAAGCATCAAAATGCAGCAAATAGAAGGGAAAAACAAACAAACAAAAAACCTACTAGGTATTGGCAACACAGAGATGTTTAAGGAGAAGCTAAAACGTAAGCAAAGGCTAAATTTGCAGGCCCTCAAATCTTTGTTCTGCAAATGGATTTGCTCCTCTGACAGGCCAGACAACTGTGCTCTCAGATCACTTCCTGATAGTTTCAAGGCAGGTGAAAGCTCAAGCACAGGCCAGATTGCTAAAACACAGTTTTATAACAAATAATTTGGCTCACCATAGGGAAAGCTTTAAAAGCCACTACAGAGATGCAATACAAAATGTGCTCATGAGATCCAATGCCATTCTTTGATACTATTTCCTTTGGAATTACATGGAATAGTTACTGGTTCTGCTTCCCTTAAAGTACTGCTGTGCAGGATGTTTGCAGCAGGGTGTGTTTATCAGAGTGTACATCTGGTAGAATTCAGCTGCCTCTTAAGTGTATGGACTCCCCTCCATGCCATGCAGCAATAGCAGAAGAGAGTACAAGCCAGTTCTCTTCCTGACATTTCATGTCTGCTGCCACAAGAACATTGTGGCAAATTTCACCTGATCAGGTTTGAAGGAGCTCTTGTACTTTATTGCCTATTGCTGCAGCTCTCCCACCAGCATCCACTCTAATTTTTGTCTGGGTCTAGCTCTGATACCCTGTAGGTATCACAGATTTTGATTTTTTCCCTCTGTTGTTTGAGAGTGCTTCTGAGATGCTTTGTTGCTGAGCTGCTGTTGCATTTAAGCCCAGTACATATTTTCTTTCTTTATGTTTGTCCTCTCTGTGTCCAGAATCCAAGGCCATCTCCAGGTCTTCTTTCTGTTCCCCTTTCTGAGACAGGCTAACCTGTGTGTGTTAGTGCCTGAGCTGGAGGCTTCACTGACTAAAATGACATCACCTGCTTTGGTAGGCTGGCAGAAGCAGTGCTAAAGAGAAGGGAGCTGATTTATGCTTATGCAGGATTGCCAGGTGCTGAACAGGTACTGGTCTTGTGGCAAAGACACAAACTAGGAAGAACAAAACTTGCACAATTCAGAGACCACAAAATGTGTACGCAGGGTTTGTGTTTTCAGTCACAAAGCAATAAAAAAGGCAATTAAGTAAGTGCCTCTGTTCTCAAGTCAGAGAAGAGCACTGCAGCAAGGAACCCTTCAAACTCTGTCATGATACCACAGAGGTCATACTCACTTTCTATGGGAAACTGGTTTAGTCATGGCCTTCCGAGTGTGCTGGTCAGTAAAAACATCCCAGTTAAGAGCAGCCATTTATTCATGATACTCAATGTAATACACAGGTTTCCAGGGTCTTCCCCTCTGTATTTTGACAGATGCTATTCCATTGTTGTTAAATAGAAGCATCATTTACAACTTCAAAATTACCTACTTACAACATGATACAGCCAACCCTAAATCTTTATCTTTGCTTCTAGCTCTCAGCCAGCTGGGGAGGAGGGAGAAGCATAGGAAAGCATATAACCTTCCTTCCATATATCCATATATTAAAGTAATCTGCCTGTTACAGACTTCTACAATTTTCAGGAATTGATATATAATAGACAATTCACAGCCACACTGCTTTGCCCAGTTTGGTTTTGGAGGTGCAATGGGCTACATCTTTTCATGTGGTTTTATTGCTGCAGATACACAAAATTTATCATAGAATAGCAGGTTGGAAGGGACCTCAAGGATCATCTGGCCCAACCTTTCCTGGCAAAAGCACAGTCCAGATCTTAAAGCAGATCTGAATTCCAGGCACCATTTAAAAAGACTAAAGCTCAAAGAAAATAGTGAAAAGAGGGTCAAAGGGCTTAACTTTCTACCTGCAGAGCACAAAAAAAGGAATCTCAGAGAACTGAGACAACACTTGGCACTGCAACTTTCCTTTCACAGAGCTAGAATGAGGAAAGGGAACCAGTTCACAAAGAGAATAAAGTTACTGGACTTCTTACCTCTTTCTCTCATAGACCATTTCTCAGCTTCTGGAATCAGGAAATCATAAACCAGCTCTGCTACAATCTCTTCTGACTGTAAGCGAGTTCGACTACGGAACAGATGCAGTGGAATTAGTATTTTAATTTTATCTCCAGATCACCTCTGCAAACACTAGACTCCCTTGTAAATATTCTCACTGTTTCCAAGGGAGTGTATTGTCAGGGCAGTAATTGTCAGCTGGGTCTCTCTTTATCCTACCAATAGGTGACAGTGTGACTATTCCCCTCTGTGCTGCACTGCCAACATGTTTCCAATACTGCATTGGAAAGCAGGGAGAAGATCACCCTAGGCTCCTTATCCCCAAAGCTATTTAGAAGCCCAGTTCTCACTGATGACAAACTGAACTAGACACAGCGATACCTCTGTGGATTTGTGTCTTTGTCCATTTAGTCTTTGGCTCATTGCTGAGTTTGCTAAATTCTTGCCTTTTGTGACTCTGCATTTGGCTGGTCCCCATGCTCTTTTCCATGCCAGTGTTTGGTGGGTTCCCAGTTGGCCCAGGGGCTGCACACATTATCTGTGCTTCATTCTCCCCAAGGACTTCAGCATTCTGGCTGTATTCATCAGGATACAAAATACACAGCTGCTGTACCATAGGAGAGTCACTGTGTCATTGGGATTTTTATGGCTCAATTCCAAAAGAAAGAGCATAGAAACTGAACTGGAGGTTTGGCAGATCCTAAAAAGTATTCACTGCTGATGCCCCAGCCAAACACAAGGCTGAGGTATTCTCAACAACTTACACTACTCAAAGTGCCTTGTCAGGCAGCCATCAATATGACTGACCTCCATGGAAATTGGCAGTTTCTTAAAGAACAGCCACCCCAGAATGAAAGGCTGCTGCATAGCTCTATCTCTTAGCATCTCTTTCAAATGGATTTTCTGTAGTAGTGTAAATAAATGAAAAGATCGGTATGAATGGGTATTGCTTTAGGCAGTTCCCAGATTCACTCAAAGCTCAGCCACAGCCTCACACTGGTGTGGAGAAATCAAAAAGGGTGATTCACAGAGCGCACGAGTGATTTGCAAAGGGTATCTGGCACATGCTGTATGAAAATCAGGCTTTGATGGATTTATGTGTGTACTAGGTAGTAAGTGCATGGTTCCCACACAGCAGTCACACTAATGAAGCGACCATGAGCAGTATTGCTCTGCCCTTCCCATATCTTGGATTATAGACATAACCACAGCTGCAGATGGTCAGGCTGGTTCTAAACTGCTGTAAACAGCCTCTAATGTGCCGTTTAATAACGTACCGACTTTCTATTTCGTAAGCAATGTCATTGATTTCTACAGCCATTCTCTGAACCTCTTCCCTGGCTTGTCCTTCAGCTGTGTTCTCTATGCCACTCAGGATAATGTCTTCCAAGTAGGAGTCAATAGTTCTCTGCTGCACGTTCACCACCTGGAACAAAACACCAAGATATTGTTCTGCTATCTATTGCTGCATCAGGAGCATGGTGGAAGCGGATTTCTGGAGAACAACAGATTTTTACAAGATTTAATTTCAGGCAGTCCAGCCTGAGGTTTGTGTTCAGAGATGCTCTCTGTAAAAACTTCTTTTCTAATAATTTGTTCTGAGAACTAATTGAACAAGTACAGGAAAGAATCAGTGGTGGAAGAAAAGCTTATCCACAGATCCAGATTCATCCTCTGAATGCAATGGCAGTTGCTTCCTCAATTCTCATGGTCCCCTAAGCAACAATTGCCAAATAATGATCATCAGTATTGACTGCAGTAAATTAATAAGCTTTCATTCAAGCAAACTCTGAAGGAAAAGGTTCCATCAAGCCAGTCAAAAACCAAGATAAAATTATTGGTTTCCTTGCAATGGTTGTAGAGCAGAGATTCTAGAAATGGGTATTTTTCTTCTGCTAGTCTGAAGGGCATAAGCTTATGGTACTTTGACCCTACTTGCTTCCCACTCAGAAAAGATAAGAGAAGAAACTAAAATTCAAAGAAAAATAAACATGATGCCAGACTCTCTTGGTATTAACTGCCTCCCTCAAAGTTGGAAAATTATTGGTTTAGTCAATTAGACTCCCACTCATGCCTTTCTACTGGGAGAAATATGCTTCACTCCTTCCAAGGGAATAGGACTACAGAATAGTTATGGAATATGGTAATTCAGGATGTATTTTTCTGTTTTTCAAGGATATGTTATCCATTATCATGACCTCAAAATAAATTTTGTACCTATTGTTATTTGCAGTCCACTTTAGGAGGGGGAGGCAAAAATCTTTCCAAACTCTTGCTTAAAGGCATCCTTCCTGGGAAAGCACCTAATAGTTCTGCTGGGCAGACCAAGTGCTGACAAAATACAATTCGTAAATATGATCTAGGTATGATGATCTGTTATCCACAGGTGTTTGTTGTAGAAATTCAGAAACCTACATCCATTCATGACATGCCTAACAGGACTGGCTGTAGGGGTATTCAGATCATCCCTAATTTAATGGGTACGACTCTTTCAGGAAGGAATCACCCTCTCTTCACTAAGCCTGCCCCCTCAATTTTAAAACTCGCCACCACCAAAGTCAGAGATGAAGCAGCTCCCATCCATCTGGACCTTCCCACAAGGAGGCAGCTCCAACAAACTGCCCACAGTCCCACCAGTCTCCCTCTCTTGCCTGTCTGAAAATGTCATCTTCTTCCCGGCGCCGCCTCTCTTCCACCTGACGACGTCCACTCTCCTCTGCTTCCCGCATCTGCCTCTGCCTCTCAGCCAGCATGACAAAAGCATGGATCTTCCGTTCTTCTTGCAGCCTGACCAGCTCTTTGGACAGAAAATCAAGGATGTTTCCCAGTGTCCTTCCTTCTACCTGGGCCAAGCTGTTTTCCACTGATGACATCTTTAAACAAAAAATGCAAAGAATTGTGTTACAAACCCCAGGAATGTTGTTCGAAAGCCCAGGACTACCACAGGCATGTGAAACAGCTCTGCAGCATCCACTCAGAGCAGGCATGGGACAACCCCAGGAGTTTAGCATTCTTCATGTTTTACATGCACTGGCTGATTTCTGCACAATGTCATGTTCCTGTGTACAGGCCCTGATGGCACAAAGAGGCTAAAAAATGGCAAAACTAGTCAGGACAGGAAAAGTTCTGGTATTGTCACAATAGGACAAGCAGCCCCTGTGCTTGGATGTGTGGGAGGAGATAAAGCAGTAGACATTGCTGTATTCCAGATATTATGAACTGCTTTTGTGCCTGTGAGTATAAACAGAATAACTGCTGAGGCCACCTGCTTGTTACTGCTCCACTGCCCAAGGGAGAGGAGGGATACAAATGACAATGAAGTTACTTCAGCTGCATACCCTCCATCTTTCTGTGCTAAGCTTAGCCAGACCAGAACAGAAAAACAGGATCAAAAGTTGCAAATTAAGCTTCTTTCTAGTATGGGAAAAGTAAACTTCAAGCTTTATGAGCAGAGAAACAGAGTAAAGCTTTAGGAAACTGGAACTGTGAGTACCACTGCACTTCTATCCTCTCCTAAGGATACAAAATGCTACAGTTCAAAGCCCCCTCAGTGAAATGGTACATCTTTGGCTGGACATTCATGGTGCAACCAAAGTGATTCAATTGACTGAAATAATAAAGCAACCATGAGTCCTTACAGCTTCAGGCACTGAGTTATTACCTAACACTGTACAAGTTACTAACTGCTAACAAATTCAAATAGACACTAATTGTATTAAGTTTGCAGAAGTGCAAATGAGACCTCAAAATACCAGGTAATGGAAAATCAGAAAGCCTGTGACAGAGCTGAGACTAGATTCCAGGTGTTCAGTGTTACTGCACCATTCACTTCTTGTTCCAAGCACATCATGTTTTATGGGTTGGGTATGTGCAGTTGCACTTCAGAACGGGACAAGAGCTATGGTAAGTTTGTTATCTTCAGTATGGAGTTTGAAACCACAGCCCTTGGCTGGGATGCTGTGTGTCTGTTGGAACAAACAGGCAATAACAGAACAGACCTAAACATAAAACTCAATATGGACCTGAGATATCCCAGACTAGTAATAATAAATCAGCTTTCTTATACTGCTGTGCCATTTGCTCAGGCAGTGTTACAAAGCAAGTAGGATTGTCAGTGGTGCACATGTCTAGAAGTGACAGCACTTAGCCCACGGGTGTTTAAGATGGAGGATGGCCATGCAATAACTGCACCACCCCACAGAGAGGGATAACATGGCACTAATGTGCTCCTTCCTCTTCATTGCTCCAGGTGCTGTGTACAAAACTGGTGTGAAATGGAGAAAAACAACTCAGGAACACTCTTGTCTTAGACTTCTGTTACATCCAAGTTGGAAATTTTCAACTCCTTATTTCTGACCATTTTAGCTGGAGTTTCTGTCCTACTTCTGCAGGAAGGATTTCTTGAAAAATGCCTCTTTTTATATTGGAAAGGTCAAAAAAACCTGATAAAAACCTGTGACCACCAAAACCTGTGAGTCATCAGTGACTTTCTCAAATAGCCACACATAGAAAACTCCTGTACATGCATTCCAGAGAGTTTTAAAGTTCAGAATGTTTGAAGACCTGAGCCTTGGACTGTGCGCCTTCAGGGACATAGTTAAAAAAAAAAGCCAGAGTAGAGGAGGTCGATACCAGCAGAGGGGGATAGTGGCTCTCCCAAAAGGAAATTCTGAGATCAGAGGTCAACATCTTTCCCATTTGCTCTCTCTCTCTCTCTATGAATGTCATTATGGTTTCTAAACTGCTCTGTCCTTCACTCTCACCTGGGCTTCTAGAAGAAGAAGAGCATTTCAAGTTCCTAATGCCTAAGGCTTTTATTTTTATCTTAATTCCTCAGAGAAAATTCTTTATTCCAGCATTCCACACTGGGCTCTCTGTGTATGAGGGAGCACCTGGGAATGCTAAACCAAATCACCTGGTTCAATTTTTGCTGATATTTGTGAGGAAATTTTGTTGTGCCCACCCAGAAGGAAGTAATGGTCTGGTTCATCTCCACCAGGCCAACTGGCCAGAGGACACTGTTATCATACTATGGAAGCTGCAGAATTGGCTCACAGCTGGTCATTGAAAAAACAGGAGAGTAGTAAAAACTACAAGAAAACCTGCAGGAATTGGAGAGATACTATATATCTGAGATGCACTGACCTCTGGACATAATTTCATGCTCCATTTCAGACCAGCATCTACCATTTTATTCACTTTGCTCTGGAAGGTTGTGGCCCTGCAAGGACACAGGATGGGAATTTGCATCCCTGGCTCTCACTAGATCCTTGGTAGAGGATGGAGCCCAAAATTTCTGTGCTCTGCATAACAGTGGCAGGTACAGCAATGAAATGCCACTGTTAAGGTTCTAAAAGTCTGGAGCCCAGCAGGATTTACAAAACTAAGTCTGCTTTGGCTTCTTTTGTGATGTTTTATGCCTGAGGAGGAGCCTGAAAGGGTACCAAGCTATAAAAGGAACAGGGAAATAACACAGCAGTAACAAACATTCAGTAAAACATCTGACAGATGTAACTGACAAGCATGTATTGTGATGCCAGGTCACAGTACCAGTCAAATGGACTGAAATGTGGGAAAACTGAGGTTTGTCTGACACTACGGTTTGTTCAAAGCCCTGTAAATATAAATAAGTGCTCTGTCCGCAAACAAAGCAACCACAGCCTGGGTAGCAGCTGTGGTCAGGGCGCCTCAGTCTGTTTCCAAGATTCTCCAGAGCCCCCACAGCAGTGAGAGAACAATTTCAGCCCCTCAGGCATTCAGTGCTCAGCCTGTGCAAAGGGAGTGCTATTGTTATTGGGGTCCCTTCTGTGCTGTGGATAATAGAAAACATAAAGAAATTAAATGTGAGAGTGTTGGTAGTACTGCAAGCACAGTGCCTGGTCAGGACAGTGGTGTGAATCAACCTTCCCATCTATGCAGGCAAACCTTGTGCATTTGCAAGTCATGCTGTTGCTGTAGAGCCAGTGTCATTTCCTTCTCTGCCTTCAAGAGCAGCTGTCCATCCTCCTGGAGTGCATGAGTGGTGCGCAGCTCTTGGATCAGATCCATTCGCTTCTCCTTCCCTTCAAACATCTTTAAAATAAACATAAACAACTGAGCATATTGAATGAAGAATATAATTCAACATGTTTTACCAGCAGAGCACACCCTTTTTCTCCAAGTTGCAAGGTCAGTTGTTTCCAAGACCTAGTTCTCTATAACAAATTTGTGGCTGCATTTAGACAAACACCACAGCTGTCAGGTAAACGTTGCCTAAACCCTCCTGCATAGAAGATGAAAGTTGAGACCTTCTGCTGTGGAGTATAGATAATCCTTTGCTACCATTTTTTAAAATTGTTATTCTGTTTGTCTTTACCCAGAACTCAAACCACAGGAATGTGGAGCACTACCACCAATGTCAAGTGAAAAGGGCAATAGCCTTCTGGATACCCTGTTATATCAGCCTCAATGTCAAAGCTTTACAGTGTTTCAACATCTACTGTTCTCTGACCTTCATTCTGAGGTAGTCCAGCAACAGCTCAAAGCAATAAATTGGTGGGGATGTTGCTGAAACTGCTGTCATCCCTGTTATGGGGTTATGTGGCCCAGCCCTCTCTGACACTGTCTTATTTCCAACACTTCCAATGCCAACAAAAGGTCACTCAACCCTGCTCACATCATTCTCCAACTAAGTCATATATTTGGACATAAGGAGGAATTTCTTCACAGAAAGGGTGATTAGACACTGGAATGGACTGCCCAGGGAAGTGGTGGAGTCACCGTCCCTGAAGGTGTTTAAGGGAAGAATGGACATGACATGGTTGAGTTAGGTTGGACTTGATGATCTCAGAGGTCTTCTCCAACCTAATTGTTTCTGTGGTTCTGTGATTTCTGATCCAGCAGTAGCTGGAAGGAGATTCCTGAAATTATCTCATGGTGTGAAAGTCAACAGCCTTTCAATGGCATCGAACATACTTGTCACAGACCACCACAGAACTGGTGAAAGCTTGGGAAGTCTGTATTCCACCTCAAGCAACTTTCACAATATTGCATTGTTTGCTAAAGCTCAGGTCAGGGTCCCATGTGGGAACACATCACAAACATTAAATAACCCCTGGAAGAGAGAATATCAATTACACTCTGCAGGCATGAAAACAAACCTTCTGGACTGGTCTGGTCAAAAGTGATAGACTTGCTTAATATAAAGCCCTTGAGGCATGGCTACTCAATAATTTTACCTAAACTCCCTTCTGCTTCACTGAAAGCAGAATGACCAGTCCTGCACTTGCTGGAAATCAGGGTGCTTTTCACCTGCTGTTCAGCTTACCATCACAGAAACTGGAAAGATGTTATGAAATACAAACTGCTCTGCTGGGATGTGGGAGGTTTCTTGTGCCTGGGATCTGGGTGTAATCAAGGCAAAATGTACTCATGGTCCAGACCTAGTCTGGAATTTGCCATTTGAGTAATTCTGCTATGAAGCCTCTAATTAAACAGCTGAGTGCAGGGGATGGCAGGAACAGGGGGACACTTACAGATGATTAGGAACCTAGAAGTTCCTGTAAGAAACTGGGGCTGGAGAGCAAAGTCTTCAGCCTTGAAGGACCCCAGATTACATACACAAGGATATGCTGCAGAAGCCTCATTACCCCTGGTTAGTGCTGTGGAAGAAAGACTGCAAACACACTTTCAATCATTCCCACCATCATTCCGTAGACAGACATAAACAGAGGGACACAATACCATCTTCTGAATAGCCCTGCCTCGGAGCAACTTCTGCAGACAGATCACTGCCAGCTCTGTTTCCTCTTCCTCCTGCCAAAACATAACAAATATCCACACAACAATTAAGTATTTCTTTGGAGACTGAGATTTCTGTAGATTATCCATCTAACTACTAAACAGTCTAACTCATATCCTGCTTTTTTTCAGCTGTTTTTGAACACCATTCTTCTGATTTCTAGGGAAAGGAAGGTGAGTCAGAATAACACATACTTCCATGTTTTACAAGGGATGGAGGAGATTCTATTTGAGATTTTAGAGGGTCTTTAGAGATGAGTACCTAAGATGTTGATGGAGAAAATTACTGCATGCATTAGAAGAACTATTTGTAGTTTGACTGAATGTCATTTTGCAAAATGAGCATCAACTACATTAATTCAACAGGTCAAGACACTAAGGGGATAGAATTATTACTGAAGGAGGTCCAAGAGAGCTGTTAACCATAAATAAAAGGATTAAATTAAAAGGGAACATATACAATTTATATTTTGATATTTATTCTGGTGGTGACCTTTATCAGAGTAACTCAGTAAATTTAAGACTCAGAAAGTGATAGTTTGGAAATAAAATTAACTGCATTCTATTGTGATTTGATTCTTTCAGAACTTTACTGGCTTAGCATTGTGTGATTGATACCAGCTCGGAAGACCAATGGAGCATAGAGGCAAAGGGACATGACCATAGGAGGGAAAAAAAAAGGCTTATTTTAAATAAAGGAAGTAGGGGAAGCACAGATGGCAGCATTTTTTTTTTTTATGAGAGGTCTTCTAGTCTGGAGTTGACAGTACCAGAAGGAAGAAGTCCATTGGGTGCCTGGGAAAGATAAAAAGAAATCTAAAAATTGAAAGTAAGTTGGTTTTTTTTTAATAGAGAACCTATGAGGTCTGCATTGAAATGTGGTATTTAAGAAGTGCTGGAAAAACAGGGAAGAGTGTGGGATGAGAGAAGTTGTGTGGGCTTGAATCTTAGTTATCTGTTTTTTCTTAGGTG